CTCACTGTGACCTTAGGTGGGTACTGCTATTGTACACATTTGACATGGGAGGAAACTGGCCCAGAAAGGAGGAGTAGCTTGCCAAGTGATGGAGCCCTATTCCCCACACCTCCCACTTGCCAAAAAGCTAGGCAGAATGGCTCATTTCTCCGCTGTGTTCCCACAGACTGAGTACTCAGGCATGGGCTGGGGACTGTTGTAATTAGAGCTCCATGTCTGTCTCACTGGTCACTGTGAGCCCCTGGAGGGCAGGAACTGTGCATGTATTGGGCATCTTCTCACCCCCTGCTTGGCAGAGTGACCAGCTTACAGCAGCCTCTCCGTAAATGTTCACTCAGTAACTGAATGAGGGGAGACTCTGTCCAAAATTACCACACCTGGCAAATTCCCTGGAGAAAGGGACGCAGGCTTATCCTACTGCCTCAGGGGTGTGTGTGTGTGTCTGTGTGTGTGTGTGTCTGTGTGTGTGTGTGTGTGCGTGTGCGTGCACCCAACAGCAACTTTCCTAGTGGGCCACTGAGGCCTAGTAGAACTAGCTGGCACTTAAACCAGATACCTTATATTTTACTAGAGTAAAAGTAGTTTTTAAAAGTTTTTAAATATTTTTAAAAGTGAAAGTAGTTTTTAAAAATATGTGCAACATTAAACACAGCAATTCTACTTCTAGGAGTTTATCCTAAGCATCATCATGGCTACATGCCTAGAGGCCATACATGTGCTTGCGTGTGGGGCTGAGCAGATAGAAGGAGCTGGGTAAGGGACGAGCACTCTGGGGGGTGGGGAGGCAGGTGGCACAATGGAAAGGGCTTGCCTATTACTGCGAGGTGAAACGAGAGATCCAGAGTAGTCAAATTTTGTGTTTCAATACTGCCCAGAAATCCCAATTTAAAAATATTGGTTGTGTATTGCACAAATTATTCCCCTCCTCTCTCCGTGCCTTTCGGTATAGCCCTCCCGCACTGACTCTGGGCTGGCCACGTGACTGGCTTTGGCCAACAAGAGATTAGCAGAAGGGATTGACAGGTGTTTGCACACTGGGGCTTGCCTTTGTGCTGCCCATGGGACCCCTGCCACCACCCTCAAGTGAAGAAGCCTGGACAATCTTAAGGCATGTGACCTGGACACGTGACCCGTTGCCACAGGCAATAGCCTGCCACTTGCCAGACACAGAAATGAGGCCATCCTAGATTACCCAGCCTCAGCCAGCCCACCAGCTGACCGCAGATGCGTGAGAGCACCCGGCAGAGATCAGCTGAGCCCAAATCAGAAGAACAAGCCCCACCAGGTCACAGAACTTACAGCTAAGTTTTAAGCCAATACATTTGTTGTTTTAAGCCATTACATTTTGGAGGTGGTTTGCTACTGATGAAAGCTAACTAAGAACAAAATTAAAATATGTTTGGAGCTAAACAAAACAGGGATCCAGTTCACTGTAACCTCTGATGAATGTAAAGATTTAACCACAAACACTCCCTTGCGTTATTGTCATAATAGTGAAAAAACAAAATCAACCCAATGATCAATCTAATAGGGAAGTGGCGGCACATTCGCATACTGGAAAGGTTGCCACCACCGAAAAGGATGACGTAGAATAGTAGCAAACGCATGGACCTATCAACCCTTTGTAAGTGTGCTGTCAAATTTTGATCAATAGGTAAAATCTCACTGCCCCCCAGAACACACACTCTCGTGGAAAGGGAACACTGAGCCGATTGCACCACCAGTGCAGTGTAGAGACGTCTTCCTGTAAGGAAGGGATAAAGGCTCAGAATAGAGCCCAGAACGTGCTAAACTTTGCTTTTCGAGGACATAAGAGTGCACGGTGGGGGCAGTAAAAGTTCTACTCAGATGGTGACATGATTCTAAAAGGGTGATGGTGCAAAAAGTGGGACAATAGTGGGTGTTTTGATAGTGAAAGACATTGTTATACTTAGTGGCTGTTTTTTAATCTCTTCAAATGTGCCACCAAAAATTACAGGACCTGAAAGTGTGCTCTGAAAACAAAAGATGTTGGAAATCACTGGTACAGGAAATCTTTAATGACACAAAAAGACAGTTATATATTAAACAAACGAAGCCAATTGTAAAGCAACATGCACAATATAACCCCATTCTTGTTATAAAAAGAATATGCAGCCATAAGAATCTAACCGGAGGACAGAGACCAAAACTGGGATGTAACAGAGCTTATCTTTGGAAGATGGGAGTAGGGGCAATTATTTTTCTTGTTCTTATCGTTATTTTTTTTCAAACTGCCATAATAAACAGGTACTTTATTTGTGCTGAGAAAATTTAATAAAAGCTATAGTTTTAAAAACATTTGGAGGCTGGGTGCTGCGGCTCATGCTGTAATCCCAGCACTCTGGGAAGCCGAGGTGGGAGGATTGCTTGACCTCAGGAGTTCGAGACCAGCCTGAGCAAGAGCGAGACCCCGTCTCCACTAAAAATAGAAAAATTAGTGGGGCATCGTGGCGCATGCCTGTAGTCCTAGCTACTGGGGAGGCTGAGGCAGGAGGATCGCTTGAGCCTAGGCGTTTGAGGTTGCTGTGAGCTATGATGATGCCACTGCACTCTAGCCCGGTGACAGAGTGAGACTCTGTTTCAGAAAAACCAAACCAAACCAAACACAAAATGTTAGGGGCCACACTCATGCATAGACATGCACACCCACATGCATGCATACACACACATACATACACATACCAACCCCAAAGTGGAGCAAGACTATATATTTTTTTTTGTCAGTGCCTGCAAATGCCACCTCACTGCAATTCTGAAAATTCAGAATTTTCTTAGGGGTAAGCAGTCTCTGGAATTGTAGAATCTTCTTCAACGCAAAAGCACATGGAATGCTTGCAGGCACTTCCCCTCCCCAAATCTCTTGAGAGGTAGGGAGATGCAATGTAGGCTCATTCTTCACAGCCAGAGGTAGAAGCGAAGCAGGGATTCAGCTGGTCTACTCTGCTCTGCAAATCTTCTGCAAGAATGTGAGCAGGGCCAAGGAGTTGCTGTTTCCATTTGATGGTGGTGACATTCTGCTCATTAAGGGCAACAAGTCAGAGCTCTCTAATAGCCCTGCCTGTGGGGCCCATCAGGGCTTGTCCTTTACTAATTGTCCCTCACTGCTGACAGAGCACAGAAATGTCTCTGTGTGTGACAGATTCCTTACGAATGGTGGAAAGATGACCCAGCTAATCATCAGACCTGCTTCTAAAATGCCATCTAGTCAGACACTGCAGAGCCCTGCTATACTCACTCATCCATAAATGTGACTCTGAGCGGTGAGAACAAAGGCCACAGCAACTCCCTATTAGAAAACACAGGGGGAAGATAGCAATGTAACAACCAAGGTTCAAAATGACAAGCGGTTCATTGAAGCTGTCACAGAAGTACAGTCTATCGCTGGGTGCAGTGATGTGGCCAAAAGTGTGAGAATTTTTACAAAATAATGAATTATTGGCTGGGCTATAAAATGGAAAATCAGAGCTGATACGGCCAGCAGACTATACTTTTGAACTGAATTCACGGAATGAATGAACTGCGGAATAACTGATCTTTTTCTGTAAAGGGAATATGGTTACCAGACTCCTGAAAGGATGTTATCAACACGCCACTGTCATTTTGTAAGCACCCACTTCGTGTTCAACTCTACCATTCTATGAACTTGTCCTCAGAATGGAGAGAGGCAAAAAGTCTAACTTTTCTCCCTTTTGAAAAATCCTGAGTTAAGTTAGGAATTAGGAAATAGATTCCCCAATTATTAAGGAGGACAGATTACAACAGATCGGATCCATTATAGAGTTTATACCATGTCACGTTTTAAAGCTTACCAAGAGACATGACAGTGCCCTCAGCTTTAGACACTATTCAGCTTTGCCTGTGAACTACACGTTCAGCCACGGTGGCAAATTAACAACTACCATTTCCCGAGAGCTGACTAAGGGCCAGCTCTGGATGTGCCCTTGGTGGACATTATTGCTTTAATCATCACAAACATCTTGGAGCTGAATACGATCACTTCCCCATTCTACCAACCAGTGAGGAAACTGAGGCTTAGAGAGGTTAAATCACTTGTCCAAGGCCATGTAGCCAGTAGGCGGGGACCAGAATTCAAACTTCTTAAATGAGCACACAGGAGAGAGGAGAAGCCATGTGGGACAGCCGGAAGGGCGATAGAGGCCAGCACCCGAGCTCATTCACCCCAAGAAAATCACTCAATCTCTCCACAGAAGGAGGTGAACCGCCTTGTCTCATTTGTTGAGAGGTCCAAATGAGATCATGTATACAAAAGCCATGAAAATGGCAAAGCATTCTATGAGCACCATGCATTATTACTAAAAGGACTGAAGATGAAGTCACACTCATTAGGAGCACAACACTTAAATCTAGGAGCACAACACTTAAATCTAGGAGCACAACACTTAAATCATGCAGGCTTCAATGGAAAGACCACGCCCCCTCTGTCCCGGACTAAATGCTCTAAAGGAACAGCACAGCTTTTTCGGAAGCAATCTCTCAAAGAAGAAGGGTGCAGGTATGCAGGCTGGTACCCGAACCGGTCTTTGCAGGGAGTGTTGCTGTCTTATATTTAACACAGACATCCTGCCTCAGCTATTTATCTTGATCGGGGAACGTAACCATTTCACTGCTACTATCAGTTCTGTTCCAAACAGATGACTACGGTAATGTTAAACCCTTAAACTATGCAATACAAGAATGAGAAAGAAAAAAAAATAAACCACAAGATGTTCTCATGAAAGGGGCACTCTATATATAGTAATTTGCTTTTTATTATCATCATCATGAATAGCAAAGTCCACGGTTCAGTTCTCAGGCAATGTAGAAGTGGATGTTTTATATATAGGATATCTGCATACAGTGCGATACCATGGTATTTTTTTGAACACTATGGTTTACTACTCTATTAAAAGGCAACGACACAATTAAAAACCGCACAATTACAATGACACAATCTTCAAGCAATTAAAAACAACAAATCATTGAGCCAACATGGGAGATCTGCTGAATAATCTGGCCTTTCAAGTAATGTCAAATGGAAACCCTATTTTCTCCTTCTATCGGATGATCATTAAGAAGAAAAAACAAAACTAAGCTAAACAGAAAACCACCTGCTCTGAGTGGAAGTCAGGAATCAGCCTGTGTGACTTGGGCCACTCCCCAGCGGGGTGGCCGAGGCACCATCACTCCAACACCTGCAGGAGCACCGAGGGGTCCGCTTCCACGGCCCGCAGGCCTTCGTGCAGGCTCTGGAAGGTGGCCTGCTTCCCGAAGCGCTGCCGCCAGCGGACGAAGGCCTCCACCACCTGCGACTGCACGTTGTGGGGGTGGTTGGCCTTGCAGCGGTAGATATCGGCCTGCGACAGTCCCAGAGACAGCACCACGGGCTCCCACTCGGGGCCCAGCCTCTGGGCCAGCTGGTTAAGCTGCTTGTCCGACGGGCAGCTGTTGAGGATGTGCGAGGGGATCCCAGTTATCCCGTCACCTGAGGAGGAGAAAGACAGGGAGGTGAAGCCAGCAAGCAAACACGCCAGATGGGGCAGAAGTGAGAACCGAGGGGAAAAGGACCATCGCGTCCAGATGGCAGGGCCAAGTAGCCCGGTCTGCTCCGGAGCTGCTCAGTACGACGCCACGTTTCAGGGCTCACCAAAATGCCAATTGGCATCTATAAAAATGTTTATTGCAGAAAATTTGAAAACAAGAAAATAAAAATAACTAGATATCCCACCAGAGAAAACCATTGATAACGGATTGGTCTATTTTCTTTCTTTTATATATAAAACATACATTTGGGGTTACGTTGTACACACTGCTTTGCTGTCACCCTCTTCCACTTCCATCTCTCTTACCGGTGGCCCAGCAAGTTGTTCTGGGGCATGCGAGCGTGGCTGCCGGCCCCAGTTCCTCTGGCCTGGCCCAGGGGCCACAGTGTGGGGCTGGGTCCCAGCCTGGCCATGCTCCTCCCTGCAGGAAGGGCTAGTGCTGGCGGTAAAGGCTAAACCAAACAGCTTCTCGCTCCAGATGAGCCTGAACTTGAAACATAACCAAGAAAAGGTGTCATTGCTAACAGAAGTGGGAGCCAAGAGGCCTACTGAGAAAAAATAAACCAGAGAGGCCTTGAGGTAGTGGGAAGAGAGGAGGGCGGGTTTGTCGTTAGCCACAGAGGCCACAAGAGTGGAGTTACCATCCCGGCAGAGCCCAGAAGAGGAACAGAAGGTATGTGCTGTGGAGTGGCAAGGAGAGAGAACCTGACCTTACACTTCCTAAACTAGATTCTTGTTTGCCTGAGGCCAGTCTGCTAAGAAGTATGACGTTGAGTAAGTGGTCATAAATGTGCCCAGGAGAAGCAACGAGCAGTGCCCTCAGTTCTACAGAAGAGGTCCTAACCTAGTGTGGTCAGAGAAGGCCTTTCGGGAAGGGAGGCTAAAGCTAAGCCCTGAACACAAGGAGGAAGAGCTGGTGAAGGGGGAGGAAGCGGGTGGTGCATCCTATGCAGAAGGAACCGCATGTGCAAAGTCCCAGAGGTCGGAGAACCCCCCACACCGGAGGAAGTGAAATGCATTCATGGCGGCCAAGAGCAGAGATTGAGAGGAACTCCAAACATCCAAAATGATGGTGCTGGTTATTGGTTAAGTTCAGACATTTATACACTAGCACACTGTACCACACTCCCACCCATCAGCGTCACAGGGGTTTGGGTCAACCTGCTTCATGCTCACCAGCCCACTGTTTCGATTCATGATTCAATAAAGAAGGCAAAAGCCATCCTACTAGCAGAGCTGATGTTTTCCACTGCCCATGCCTCTGTTCTCTAGGCAGTCGCCAATACCTCAAGGAATGAGACGCAAAAATATTGTCAAGGACTCTTTCTGGTGTTTGTCAATACTGTACTTAAAAAAAAATGACTAAGAAGCAATTAGGATAATGATG